ATACTACTATAATATAATCCTTATTTTCAAATATTATCAAAAAAAATTTTATTTAAATATTTTAAATTTTAAAAAAGGTAAATCATAAATAAATTTATAGCAATTTTCTAGGCAAATTTGCCTAGAATTGTCTACAGTTTAAGGGATATTAATTTAAAAATTTTACTATAAAAAATATATAGCTTTTGGTGTTCTGTACTGTAGACAAAAAGCCCAATAATTTTAAATTTTTGAGAAGTGTTTTAAAAATAGTGAAATTAGTATATTAATATTAGAAAAAATGTTTATTTTTGAGAAGTGTTTTACAAATATCGAAATTAGTATATTAATATTAGAGTAGGAATATTTATCACCTGATTTTTTAGAGTAGGGGGAATAAGACCAAAATTAAATACTATATATTATTACTTAGATTGACCAATCAGATAACTTGATATAAATATGTATTGGATATCTGATCTTTTGTAATAGTGCTACTATAAAGTTTTATAAAGTTTCAAAGCCTATACATAAATCTAGTATAAATGTATAGTATGTGCATACATCCTACATAGTATATAGTATAATTGTTTATTTATAAAAAAATATTCTTTATACATATATATTCTAAATTATATATGTACATATTCTAAACTATATACATATAACAAATACTGCTAATACTAGATTTACTCTTTAACCTTCATTTCTACAATCTTGATAAACTATATTTTTGAAATTAAAAATAAATCAAAAGTAATTTTATTTTTCAATTCAAATTACCTTTTAACTATATATTATTTACTATTCTAAAACCTTAATTTGAGATATAATTAAGAGCAACACTTATAGTGATAGATTTGTGATCTGTTATTTCAAGTGAAGATAAAAGTATAGAAAAGTCTTCAACAATAGCCAAATTTGTTTCAAACTGTCTACCTAATCATCTACCCCGGGGACTAGGATGTGCAAATCTTCAATGTTTGATAAGAAAAATAATTGTTGGAAAATATTTTTTGCAAAAGGTACAACAGTGTCTAGTATGGTTTTTTGAAGAAAGAGATAAAAGGTGAGCATCATATAATAGTATTTTAATAGAATCAAAATATTCTAAAGTGTGAATCAAATTTAAGTATTGGCTGCTATTTCTTTAATTAATAGGAGCAAAAACCTATTGTTTACACTTAATAATGCTGCAGCCTCTTCAACCTGTTTAGGAGAACAGCATGATAGATCATTATATTTTTGGATATCTAGAGAATATTGATATATGTTGCAATGATTTTTGATTCAAGACCATGTTACAGATAAATTATCATTAGTTTTATTATTATTCTCACTATTTTTTTTATTATTATTTTCCTCACTATTTTCCTTATTTTGTATAACATATTTGGCAAAAACTGGTTTTCTATAAATAGAGTCTCTTCACCACAAATTAACAAGAGTTTGGCCAGTGTGGCAAAAATTTTGAAGCCCAAGCTTATAGTTTTGTATATTTTCTTAAGAATCTAAATGATTTCCAAAATAATTAATTGGTAAAGTAATCCCTACAACTTTTCTAGACAATGATAACATATTTCTTTTTACTAGATTAAATGCCAATTGGCCTGAAGCGTGAGTATAAATTGTTAAATAATCTAAATTTAAATGATAAAACAATTTACAATATTGAATGATATTTTTAAAATACTGCAGATTTTCATCTAGCCTACCATCAACTAGAAGGATCCACAATGGTTTAACCTTATTTTTATATTTAAAAATCTTTCATTAGCTATCAACAACAAGATGTCTGTCATATGTGTAGCAAAAAAAGAACCAAAGTACTACTGTGCTCTAATAAAAATTGCAATTTGACCAACTTGTAATGATTTATCAGTTTCCTTTAAATTAATCATCAAATAGACAAATGGTACTAATTTTTGAAAAGATCTTATTAGAAAATTATGATCAGGTACTGATACTGGCTTAAGAACTATTTGTATTGTCTTGAAATGTCTTTCTACAGCGAGGATGCCAACAGATACTTTTGCTTTGTTATCTTGCAATAGTATAACAGATTGATCAGCAAAGACAAAGACAAAGTTTTTAGTATTTTTTACTAACATCAAACAATAATACCTATCAACATGATCATTTCTTTTATTCTAGCTAACTCCTGCAATTAAGGTTATATTACGAAATTTACAATATTACAATATATGTAATTTTATTTAAGTTTTAGTAAATTAGAGGTAATATAATTTTATTGCATTATACAATCAGATCTTTCTAAATACAAATCGTTGGGATAGAACTTTTAATAATATATATTTAGAGAACAATAAGAAAAATTGCGTTTATAGAAGTTAGAAATTAGTACTCTGCAAATCAAATCACAATTTGAATTTGAATTGATTTTGCGAAGTACTAAGTTAGAAATATAGAGTATTTAGACCAGAATGTAAAGTTAAATTTCAAGAGATATTGTATTTAGAGGGTTGTATTTTAGAGAGGTCTGATTGTATATAAAGCAATAGCTTTACAAAAGTTCATCTTACTAATTATATGAAAACTAATTCACTGAAGTAAAGTTAATACTTGAATCTGGATTTAATCATTTATATCTGAATTTAATTATTAAATCCAGATTTTAATCATTAAATCTGAATATAGTTATTAAATTTAAATTAAATTATTAGATCTGAATTTAAATATGCAAGCACATTATCTTTGCCTGTTCACAAATCTGTTTTAAATATATAGTGACAATATTAGATACATTGTTAAATCTGGATCTAACAATTAAAATCTAGATTTAACAATTAAATCTGGATTTAATAATTAAATCTGAATATAAATAATTAAATCTGGATCCAAGCATTAACTCTATACCAAAACTTACTACAAAATTATAATAATTTTTTACAACTCTACCTGCAATTCTAGATAGTGATGAGCTCTTGCTAAAAGGGTACGGTTATTTCGGGGTAAAATATAATTTTTTTTTTTATTCTTGATAGGTCTTGCTGTGGCTTAACCTCTTAGTTTTAAGTATATTTATACTATATACTATTATTTCTAAAACTAATTTAAAGCCCAACTTCACCTAGTTGCTTAATTGCAATACCTAAATACAACCTATCACATTGGCTTATGGATAAGCTAAAAAAAAGTTTTTTTTATGAACTTGTCTAAAAGAGATTTTCATCTTTTTGTATTCAATTCAAGACAGCATTATTCTATACTTTATATGTTTTTCCTTCTTTTGTTAATATTTTGTCTCATCTTTTTTTTCTTTCTATATTACTTTCTTTCTTCTTCTTTGCTTCTTTTCTTTTTGGACTATTTGGCAACAAATTTTTCAGTTTTGGTACTTTCTTTTTTTTTTTCTTTTATCTATCTTTTTTATATTTTGATCTTTTTCCTATTCTATGATTTTGCTATATCTGTCTTTCTATATAAAATCGTAAAACCTATTCCAGATTATATATGATATGAGTTCTACTATATGTGAAGCTAATTTTGTTAAGTTAAGGAGAGTCTTGATATTATTAAATGCTTCTGCAGTGGTTAGACCTTTAATCTACAACTTTCTACTTTCTAGTTTAATGAAATCTGAGTTTCCGATAAGAATTTTGTGAAGAGTGTTTTTTGAATAAAAAAATTTTTTTTCTTTTGTGAATTTGAATCATGCTAGATTAATTGCTATATCCTCTATATTTTGCTATATTACTTTATAAAATGTATATTTGGCTAAATGATCTTGCGTTTTCGATATACCCTTGTTACAAGCTATATAGTTGCTGCTTGTATAGATATCTGGTTTTCTTCTTGCCAAAGTTCTAAGTACCAGTAAATTTTTTATAAGGCACTTCAGTTAGGTTATAAGTTTTTTACTTTTATTCAAAGTATTATATCTTATTTCTTTTAGTTTTTTAATTCTTTTCTAATAAGAAAACTAGTCTTACTTTAGGTTATTTGTCTCAAGTTCTAAAGCAAAGATTGCTTTTGTTAATCTCCAGTTTGTACCATTCCAGGTTTTAAAGATCTTTTTTAGAAAGGGTCTGGTTGATTTTCAATCTTGTAGTTATTCCAAAAGAGAAAAAACATAATTCTGGTATTATAATCTGTATGAATATTTATTATGTAAGCTAGCATAGTAGCATTTTTTGCTAGTAGATCCACTTTGTTATTCCATTTGTTGTTGCTATAATCTTTAATCTTTTTGAGTTCTAGATTGATTTTTTTTGCTTTGAGAAGATCTGCAATTTTGATCAAAATATCCCAGTTCTTTTCTTTATAGATTTTGTTAAATCTCTACTCATCTTTGATCTTTTTTAATACTAGCAATTGTTGCTGCACTATCTGAGAAGATGCAGATATTATAACTTGATGGAATAGTAAAGAGCACTAGCCAGATTGCAATAAGCTCAGGCTTTGTTAATAATAGCCAGTTTTCTATTTTTGCATAACCCTCTCTTAATATCTTTTTCTGGCTTTCATCAACTTGTACAGTACTCATCCAGCACCTATACAGTATCTATCTTTTTTATGAACTAGTGAACTATCAGTATATATCTAAAAACTATTTTTTCTACTACTTATATTAAAATCTAAACTATTTTTTAAACTATTCATCAAAATTATATTGAAATTCTGGTCTATTAAGGTAAAATATAATTTTGTGTAGTAGTATATAATAAATATTCATTATATTTTTCTTCTAGTGAACTATGAAGGTAATTAATAGTTCTAACTTTTATTATTTCACACCACCTTTGGGCATTAGCCTTTCCAAATTTGATACAAGAATATATATAGTCATGTAGATCAGAGTATTGATAAAGTAGAGGAGAGCAGCTGGAAGAATCATACCTTATAACCAATTGTTGTTTTTTATATAATTTTTTTTTTTTTCTGAAATTTTCTTTAACTTGCCGTGTATTTTTTTAAACTTTTTAACCAAATATCTTAAGCTTTAATGCTTTCTTTTATATCAAAAATTTGAGAAAAAAATCTTCTATGGTACTCAAGATTAGTAGTAATCATTGCTATAGATTGTAACTTATCTAATTTCTTTTCCAACTCTTTTTTTTTGGTAGATGCTTTTTTTTGTGTCATGGCATTGTAATGGATTGATTTGTCAGATTTTTGTGCCAATGATGATGATAACAACAATAATGATGATGACGATGACTAGGATAATCTATTTGGAACATACTGTATATTATACATTCTCACAATTATACTAGGGTATTTAGATATCTACATATTTTATTCTCAATTTCTTCTTTAGAGAGTTTTTTAACTAAATCCTATTCATTGTTGCATTCTTCATATAAGACTCTTTTATCAAGAAACAGAAAGTCCATGGAAGCTATCTTATAATATATAAATACATTAGTAAATTTATGATAAGTATTTTAAGAATATTTATATATATATTGTTTATTGAAATTTGGAATAGAAAGAAATGTTTATATTTTTGAATATTATTTAATTTTAGTATAGTAATTTACTGCTTAACAAAACAAAAAGTCCTTTATAAGAATTTTTTATTTCTTTTTAATTGTTTTTTATTTTATTTTATTTTATTTTTAATTACATGATATTTACTAATAAATTTCTTAACATTTTATTATTCTTATTAGTGAATTCCTGGCTTACTATTTCTTAAAATCACTTTTACCATATCATTTTTCTTCGCCCAAGTGCATGCATAGTTTCTTTTTATTATTGTTATTTCACGGATTTGGCTTATACTTCTTTAAGCAGCACTAATTTTTTTTTTTATTATTGTATTTGTCAGGCTCTGAACATGGACTACTAATAATATAGTATCTGTCTCTGCACTTGGCACTTAAGTTTAAACAGTACCACAGCAATATTTGCAGAATTTTACCAAAAAAATTACAAACAAGAACTAAAAAAGATTAGAATATTTTCAAGTCAGATAGTTATTTCTAATTTAAGTTACTATAGATAATAGCATAGAATAGTTTGATTGTTTTATTATATTTTTCTAGATTTCAAGTATATTAGAATTGATATCATATCTACAATATCTATTATTATACTTTACAAAACA